CCCCGCCCCGCCGCTCCCGCACCTTCTCCCGGCGGCGGGTGAGGACGCAGCCCGGCTCTCGGAGCCCGGGGTTCGAGATGATACTCAACTGGCCACGCTCCGTGGCGCGCGCCGGGCGCCGGGCTCAGAACCCAATTTGGAGGCGCCGGGAGTGCGGCCGGGTCAGGCGCCCCTTTGCGCATCTGGAAACGGGCGCAGGCTGCAGGTAAACGGCCCGGAGCCCACGGCGCAGAGCCCGGGCGCTGACCGAGGTGACTTTGAGACGACTGTTAGGCCGCGATCCAAGCAAAATAAATACCACACTCCGTCCTGATTACTGAGTCGAACGTAGAGGTGATTGGAAAGAGGGTCTGGGGAAGTGGGTGTTACTGTATTTTGAATTCACGCCCCCGTGGCTGAATGTCGTGTGAGGGCGAGAAGGATGGAGCGTCGATTGTGCTCCCCCCTCTGCTTTTTGTAAGTGGAAGCCCCGAACCGACGTGCATCCACAGCGGTGCTGTGCCTGGACTCAGTGTCGTGGGAGTGAGTGTTTTCACTCATTTCTAGGTCTGGAAAAATGAGCTGGGGAGCCCTAGGAGCTGAGCATTCAGTTAGGTCATCCACTTTTCTTGAAAGTCGGGAATTGAAAATCATCCGACTGCCAAAAGGCTTGTTTAGCTAGTCCTGTTGTTTCACTCCGTCAGTTTCTGGGAAATCTACCAAATAGGCTTTGTCACATCAAGTGACTATGAATTTGGAAAGATCGTGACTGCAAGTAAAGGCCATTAAAATGATGTTCGACGTTAGTTATGAAACTAGAGGGGGATATGGCAGTTTCCTTTAACCATCAAGACGATGCTTTTTGATGCCCAATATATGGTATTTATTGTATCGTATGATCCAATGCTCGGCATTTCTTCAGTCTATATTGGACTTTTTGGAAATAACTAAATATGATTATCCATAAAAATATAGCAAAACTTCACACATTCATTAGGTATAATGATTAAACTTTTTAAAAGGTAATGAAAAAAGAAGGCATTTGGTGCTAAAAATGAATTGGCTCAGTACTAGAAAAATAATTTTATGCTTTGTGAACAAACTTTTTTCTAGAATGTAATAAGGTGAGAAATGATTATAAGTTAAATAGGTAAGTTGTAATCGATTTTATGGAATGTAGGTTAACTGCTTTGTGGAATAAGCAAGGGGCCACAGAAAGGATGTACCTAATATTTATATACATTTATATCCAGTGCATACATATACAGCATACAATGTAACTGGAACAGTTTTATAGCCAACATTCTAGTTACTTTGAAAAGAATCAGTCACTGCTCTGTGCTGACTTGGCTGTTCCGAGGCACTTTTCTTTTGCCAACCATCTGACCCTAAGAGTGAGTATTGTGAATTCCTGGGATGACATATATTTATATCGTTTTAAAATTGATTTTAAGTCAGAAGGGGAAAGAGGTGCCAGTTGACTTCACTCATGTGGAATATATACGAAAAAACAAAGCTCGGGGGGGATGGGACAGTCACAAAGGGGTCTTTGGTTGGAGGGCTGGAGTTGGTACCTCAAGAGCTGTGAACCTGTGCCGTTAGATCAAAGTGCTGTAAAGTAACGTTCCCTCAATAAAATAATGAAACAAACCCCCTATTTTAAGCAGTCTTCCGTTTTTATCCATGACCTCTCTGCTTTGTTCTCTCCTTTGACTGTTTCTTTAGAATTTGAGTTTTTGACAATAGTGAGGATATGGAAAAGTTAAGGGCCTGAAAACCCTTTACCATCGCTCTCCCATGTGTATGTCTGAATCCAATACATCCCCAAGGGTCAGGTACCTTCTCCCTGAACATCCAAGCTGCCTTCCGTTCCCAGCATCATGTGCTGCTGGTGGCAAAGAGACTTTCCAAATGCCAGCAGGAGGGCAGCA